GAGCCAAAGGAAGGACAACACAACTCACTTAACGTTTCATACTGACTGAATAGTGTGCTGAAGATGACCACCTGGAAAAAGGAAATTATATCCAAGGAATTGGAACATTTGTTCTCAGAATGGTTGGTACCGGCGTTGTGACAAGCTTAAAATTTGGAATTGTATCAGTGGAATTGTAATGTCGGGAAATCCGTTCTTGGACGTTATGACCAGGGTAGAATGCACAACAAACTACACAAGTGACAATACTTTACCTTGATTCCCGTGGAAGACAGTTTAAGCCTTACAGTCCTTGTGGGAAAACACACTACAAAGTTTCTTCTCGAGACGAGGTCCAGCTGCCAACTACAGAATGAACTTCTGTACACGTTAGCGGTCTAGATTAATACTATGGATGAATTTCTTAACACCTTAAGGTTCACTATTCCTCTCTGAGAGAAGCGATATCGACAAAGATCACGAAAAACAAATACTCCATCGGACGAAGAGTCCTTGTTCCATCGACCAACAAATAGATGAACTTCTAAGTTTTCATCCTCTCACGGCCCAGGGCAAACAATGTTAGCAAATGAGTATCAGCTTGAAGTGGGAGGAGAGCGGGGCTGTAGGAGGCGTTTGTCTACTGGGGGATGGCAATGGTCGTTGGTTGTGGAACACGGAGAACTCGATCGGTCCCGTGGCGATTGTGGGCGAGTGTAGGCTAGCGCTGTGTGTGTGTGTGTGCGTGCGCGTATGTACGTGCGTGTGTGCTTGTATGAGTACTAATAACAGAATGTCAGTAATTTATCGGCGTGTGAGCGTTATATTGGAGTTTACAAAATGAGGGGTGTCGGAGAAGTTTCACCCTGGTGAAATCCACGAGGAGGGGTATACTGACCAGAAGATTTATTCCGACAAACCGATGGAACACATTTCGGCAGTCTCGTTTGTTCGTGAGGAGTTTCAAATCTATTGTAGCAATATCACGGAGAAGATAAAAATGGGCTTCACTTTCTTCCCATGTGGGAATCGAACTCGATCAAATGCCTTAACCACGAGGTTTCCCTTGCGTCCTCTGCTGCTGGATCTCCAAGGATGGCGCTTTGCCGATTCAGTGAGTAGTCTCAAGCTGGAGGGGCTCCAAGAGGACATCCTGTATAATATTCTACACTGTGTTATATTCAATCATCGCTCCAAACCTGGGTTCGATTTCTATTGTGATCAAGATGGATACGGGTACAGACACGGAGTTATCTGAATTCACATTCAATATACGTCACCGCCTGGAGTTTGCATCTCAGCACGAGAAAAACCTTCAGACTCAACTCTGTCAAACTCATTTAGTTTCTATAAGTCTTTCCGAAAAGTGTACGGTTTATGACCAGAGTCTTAAAACTTCATCCTCTACAAACAAGTGCGGTTTTGAAAGTCTTCTTAACATAACCTAACGACTTGATTAGTTATTGATGACAGGCTTTGGTAATAGTTTCCTACTGAAACCTGTGAAAATACTTAGCGTTGCAAGCATTTAGTACACAATCAATCCACGTTACTCTAAGTAGGCGGCGCAATGATCTTTAGTTCACTACCCCAAGGGAGCCATACTGGAGGAAAAGAGGAATATTTAATACAATAACAAAATATTAAATCATGAAACCCGATGCACGCATAAGTTCATTATATCCTTGAAGTTCAGAAAGATGTTTTTGAAACTTGGTCAGACTGACATATCGAACGCATCTCATTGGGGAACAAACCCACACTGATCCCGAGACCGCATCTCACAGAGAAAACCGTACTGTTCCCGAGAGCCCATCTATCGAAGAAATGTGTACACGGTAATGGTAAGAAGCTTTGCTTCTTTTGCTGGTAACACTATACGTAAACAAAGCTCCTTCCCAAACTGGTGTTCAGATCACGCTTAGGATTCACGCACTGTAGCTTACCTGCAGTGGGCCGTGAGCGATCGTTTTGGAAATATTTCAACATAATTCCAAAACGGTCTCATTTGTTTTCTAGAACTCATTAGATTGTTGGACAAGCTTGTGATAGTTTTAACGGACAGTTGGTTATGAAACCTAGTATTCCAAGAACTCTGTATCTGGCATAAAAAGGAATGAAAGCTTGAACGCGAAGAGTGAGTGAGTGAGTGAGTGAGTGAGTATGGTTTAACGTCGCTTTTAGCAATATTCCAGCAACACCACGACGGGGAACACCAGAAATGGGCTCCACACATTATACCCATGTGGGGAATGGAACCCGGGTCCTCGGCGTGACGAGTCAACGCTTTAACCACTAGGATACCTCACCGCCCCTTAAACGCGAAGGTGCTATATAAACTTCAGACGAGTATCACTCATTGATTGTAACACCGGTAAATAGTGCGATGTAGGCGGAAGAATGCTGGTCTACAAACGAAAGATTATCACTGTAATTGACTTAAATAATGGCGATCTATAATCATGCCAAAAATGTTGACTGTGCCTGATTCAGGTGAAATATTGAATTCACATACAATAAAATAATTGTGTCTCTCGAAGATTGAGGTGTTGAAGACAAAATATAAACATATAATAAACATAAAGCTAAAGGGTTGACTTGCATAACTGAAGTTAATCAAAGTAACTGGCAGAGTTTTTCATAGACTAAGGCAATCACGGCAAAAGGTTGACTTTCATAGACTTTCAATCACGGCAAAAGGTTGACTTTCATAGACTCAAGGCAATCACGGCAAAAGGTTGACTTTCAGAACTGGATGTATTTATGATCTGGTTTTATAACGACATCGACTGGCTGTATGAGTGGGTGTTATTTTAATTATTCCGCGTTATTCCAGGTAGATCCCGACGACCTGTAATCAAATCTGTCTCAGGTACACACGATCCACGTGAAGCGGACGATGACACAGCCAGTTCTCACTCTGAGATCACATAAACCGTATTATAGTCAGCTATATTGACCGGCTACTTCACTGGAGATTAGTTTTGCATATTTCAAGAACAAGAACCAACTGGCAAAACACAAGCATGTATGCAATACCGCCTGTCAAATGTTTCCCCCAGTGGTATCTTGTAGAGGAGTCTAAATGCCACAGTATGCTCATCACGTCATCGCCCATATTGACACGTGCGTTAGTTCTGGAGTTTGATGATCGGTGGAACAATTACCAACACAAACAGTCAGGCGCTTTGGAGATATAAGCAAACGCGCCATTATCTAGCGTTAACTATAACTCATCTCCGCCAAGCTGCCAAAACCCCATATTCGTTAATGCTTGTTAAGAAGGTATTAACCCAGAAGGGCACACACTATCAACAGTTAGTACTGTCGGAGTATCGGGAAACATGGCTAGCAATTGGTTGAGGTAGGGTTACTGCACAACACACACTAAACGATAAATCGGGATTTCCTTGACAATCATATGTTCACGCAGCTAAACATTAACGTCTTTCATCTGTTAACCTTTGAACTGATGATGATGTAATGCCAAATAGTTAAACATTCTCAACCTGATTGAACTCTAGATTGTTATATCGAAATACCGCATGTTAAAATACCTTCCAGCAACCAATGTGCGTAATAGGTACTTTTACGTATGTGTTACATAACGATGGTAACTAGACTTGAACCTTTGCCATGAAAGGGTGATTCACTTTAGTCTCTAGTACATATTGTGCGAGTAATCATGTTGGGTTAAGCGCCGGTGTGCTGAAAGCAGAGCTACGCAGACAGTATAGCCACAAGCAAGGTTATGGTGAAACAGACTTTTTGATAATCAGAAATCGCATGAACAAGGGGTTTCGAAACCACAAGATACTTCCCCAGCCAAACATGCCTCATCTCACTCGTCCACACATCCCCAGTCTTGCTCTTCTACAGGGGCGGAAGTGGTTAAAGCGTTTATTCGTCACGCCGAAGACCCGGGTTCGATTCCCTACATGGGTACAATGTATGAAGCCCATTTCTGGTGTCTCCCACCTTGATATTGCTGGAATATTGCTAAAAGCGACGTAAAACAAAACACACTCACTACTCATCCACTCATGCCTCGTCACACTCATCCACACTGAGCATCATCTACATATGTAGCAGTATCTGCACCAGTGTAGGGATTGGAGCTAAATACCATTACCATCTTGGTACCATTCGATGCCATCCCTGACTACCATCCCATCTTGGTACCATTCGATGCCATCCCTGATAGACTACCATCCCATCTTGGTACCATTCGATGCCATCCCTGACTACCATCCCATCTTGGTACCATTCGATGCTATCCCTGACTACCATCCCATCTTGGTACCATTCGATGCCATCCCTGACTACCATCCCATCTTGGTACCATTCGATGCCATCCCTGACTACCATCCCATCTTGGTACCATTCGATGCGTCTAAGAAACGGGTGCGTTTCGATTTCATGTGATATGTTTGGGAGACATCATCGAGTATGACGCCAAAGGGCCAAGGACCGTAGTCGAGACGAGATCAGTGAATCCTGGCACGGATAACCGACGCAACTCTGAACACCCAAACGGCGGTGTCTTTGACGAGGGTCCACCTACTTCACCTGATCACATCAATGCATTTACATATTAAAAGTGACAATGTAAGTGGTTACTAGTTATGGTAAGTACAATAGGTACTCTTGAGAAATATGAAGATCCACACAACCATAGGACGAAGGCACTAAAACCTTCATCGCTGGACAAACGGCATCACACCAAAACTCACGACAAGAAATATATACAGCATTGGAAGCATGTACGACAGGAGCAGTGGGTGGGGTGCAGTCGGGTGGGGGGTGGGGAAGGCGCTGCTGGGGAGAGCTTTGAGGGTTGGGCATGCTCAAACTATGACATAAATTGGTGAAGCAACAGGTCTGTATTTTCAGTGAACAAATTTAGATTTACGGGGTCAAAGTTTAACTGGAAGGTGGTAATTGGGAGGCACTACGACAATTGGTAGTAGGTTCCTCTGTACGACCTGCTGCTCCACCATCTAGGTTATAGTAGCGTATACCTCCTCACTGGCGGGCCAACACGGGCACCTGCACCCAGAGCTCCGAGATGAGTCACCCTACAATGAAATGGTGACAAGGATTATTCCACTTTCTTAAAGACGGAGTCTCCAACAACATGATGTTTTGCTTGCAGTAAATATCTACCTCTCACGACAACACGACGACGCCAATGATATTTGATTGTGTTGCCGCAATGTGTAGTACCGATTCTAGGATCATCATTTTTTCGTTTGAGGGAATGTTTCACATGAATAGCAGTTTTTCGAATAGTTTTTCGAAACCTTTGCTTGTCTTGAAATGTCTGGCCTGAAGGCAGCTTACTTTAAATGTCTGCTCTTATAATTTCCTTGGCAACAGGGTTGCCTACTGGTTAAAGCCTACGCTCGTCATGCTGAAGGCCGGGTTTGCGTCCCCCCCACACAATATTGCTTAAATATTGCTAAAAGCGGAGCATGCCCAATTCACTCGTCTAATGCTATCTACTTCGTGACCACTACATCTGGGATTGGTGCCTGACGACAGATTGCTGAACATTTGGGACTGAAGTTATTAGCAGTGAGTGAGTGAGGTTAGTTTTACGCCGCACCCAGCAATATTCCAGCTATATGGCGATGGTCTGTAAACAGACAATCAGACAATCCAGTGATCAACAGCATGAACATCGATCTACGCAACTGGGACACGATGACATGTGTTAACGAGGTCAGCGAGCCTGACCACCCGATCCCGTCAGTCGCCTCTTACGACAGGCATGGGTTACTAAAGATCAATTCTCACCCGTTTTTTACGCTGACTGAGTTTGGTTTTACGCCGCTTTTAGCAATATTCCAGCAACATCACGGCGGGGACACACATTGTACCCAAGTGGGGATTCGAACCCGGGTCTTCGGCGTGACGAGCCAACGCTTTAACCACCAGGCTACCCCACCGCCCCCCATGCTATTAACAAGCTAATGAATTGATATGTAATACCCAAACATATCATGCAACATGAAGTGTCTTAACGCAGTTCCTAGTCACATGAACGTTGGAGGAAGGGCGACAGAGACAATGGCGAATTGTGTACCACTTGTTAACAATCAGGTTAATTACTAGAATTTTGTTACACAACTACTTATAAGGCCATGTGTTACTGAATTCAAAGCAACCAAACCTTTCCAAATCCTGATAGCCCCCTGAAAAAAGGCAGTGTTAACTTCGCGATTCAGACGAATTATGATCATAAATACACACACGCACACACGCATAGACACGCAGAGGACGTTGACACCTTCTCGGTCTATAGCGTTATCCAATTACCTAAGAAACTTCTACACATTTTACACAGAGCGTTAGTCGTATCACAAGGACACTTACAACGGCAGGGTCACTTTCTCCTATATTTCTTCTCCTGCTATATACGTCTCTCCGAGTTTTACCTGTAAGTTCATGAATCCTCACTGTTGTGCCATGTTATCACATAAAACAAAGTCTGTGATAACATAATACCCTTGACTGACTTATCAAGTAGCAGTACCATGGTACCATGTGCCAAATTACCGACATATAAGCTGAAATCCATTTACAAGACGACGAGGCCGCGACGCCCTAACTACCAACCTTGGTGAAGGACGCCAATCTGCGTGCCTCATCACCCGCTGTAACAACGCCTATATGCGATGCTGCAAGAACGGTCTTTGAGTGACAAATGCTAGTGTTAGATTGAATAACCAGTTGTTGCGACATTGACGTGAGCGGTAGTCACTGCTCTGACGTATACAAGAGGGTACAAAACATTCACACAATTAACAAGTGGAAAAAGAGGGGCTTGCTGCTTGAACGACTTACTGTTTGAGTCTCGAAAAAAGTAGGCTAATGATATAGTATAGGTACATGGATACATGCTAGTGGTGGTTGCAAATGGGCATTGCAAAAATGTTTACGTTGTTGTACTCAGGAGTCAGTAATGTTCAAGTACAATGTCTTATCATTACAGTAAAGCTTTCCAAATGTTTTATGGTAGACATGTGAAGACGTTTCAAAATTTGATGCACCAGTGACATTAATGCAATTCCCCAGATTGATTTGTACCGTACGCTCCTGATATTTTTCAGGTGGAAAATTGACCAGCCTTTGCGTGTGTGTATGACAGGTGCCACCGGTGGGGCAGGATACGCTCACCTTTTCGCGAACAACTGGTACCATTACTATTTTATAGCGATTCATAAACACGTGCTCATGAAGATTTAGTAGGAACTGTACAATCGACTCTGCTTTTTAAAACAAATTGCGCGTGGATGTGGAAAGGATTTTCTTTTTATCAGTAGATACTTGTGTCCTTGTGGAGAATGTGGGTTCTTGTCGACAGAACGCTTTTCCCACAAGGCTATTAGGAAGAGACACATTATTGAAGTCGAGTTGTTTGCCGAATCGAAACGTCAAACAAAATTAAATGGTCTAGATGGTATATGATGACAACAGAATATCAATAGTTTTAATAGTCTAAGTCATCACGGTAAGAGCACGTTTCTCTCTTTAGCGCTTTGGACCTTCAAACTGAAGTATTTTATGTTGGCTGTTTGAAACTGTCCTTGAAGAAAAACGCGTGAAAAAATGCAAAAAAATGTTTTCTTGACAGAAAAGAATAATTTGACGTCTGTTATTTTCCCTGGGCGAATAACGGCGCCAGTGTAGGGACAGGTAGTTTTGTAACAAGTGGTTTTGTGACAAGTAGTACTGCGTGGATTGTACGATAGTCTCGAAAGAATCAGCAGAGGATCATTGTTACACGGGAAAGCGTGGGGGTACTGGGAGGCACCGACCTCGGGGCAGTTGATTGTTCTTCTAGGGTCACATTTCATCCATAAAAGAACTCTACAAATTGTAGTTGGACTCCATTGTCTGTTGAATGACCTTGGTTCGGATTGGAGTACCACCGACTCGTTATCCGTATGCGGGTCGGGAAATACGTGCTCCTTACCCTACGACCAGCCTACAATGTTGTCTTACTTTCAATTTATGTTTTGAAACAGTGCGTGGACGGATCAGGCTTATTGTTAATTAATTGATGTAGATAGTTCATGTTGTGTTATAGTATTTATCCCAATAAACGATCGATGTGATGTTAAACCAGCGCCGGGAAGATGTTAAGTAACGCTTGTGCCGTCGCGTGGTGTTACTCCGCTTTACAGTTACGTTACTATGCTTTACCGTTACTCTCATTTAACACAACGCTTATAACAAATACATATAATAAAACGTTAGTGTAAACTAGTGCATTGTAGAGATAAACCAATTGGCAAACGTGAAGGTTGCTGACGTGAACGTATCAGGTGGAACGCCACTGTGGATTGTAAGGAAAATAATTTGTATGGGTTGACATGGCATCTTACAACCAACACACATACATCTCTATATGCATCTCAAACGAAAGACATCTGACCAATGAAGGAAACCTACCAGCATAAGACAACTACCAAACATGAGGCAGCTCACCAACATCAGTCCTCAAAAGACTCCAACATCTAACCAACATCAGACATCTCACGGACATCAGAAATCTAACCAACATACCGCATCGGACCAACACCAGACATCCCAACATCACTTGACCATATCATTAGACTGTTTCAGTGTTGTCACAACCCATAGTGTACAGTACACAACCCTGGACATTTAAAAGAACCCACGAATCCGTTGGTATATGACCAGATGGTGGCCACATGAATACGTGCAAACACCTAGTTGCGGGTACAGCAACGTGCAGTAAACTTGGACAAAGTACTGTGACTATGTGTCCCAGTCCACCCAGCTGTGAATGGGTACCTCGTAAGGATGCGAAGGTCACAATAACCTGGTGCGCAAGTGGCTGCAAGAGTTGTATGATCCCCAGGGAGTTGAGACTGATAATACGATGTGACGTTGAGATAAACATCCATGACCCAGGCAAAAAATACCAGCGCCTTGAGCACGTACTAGTTGCATGGATATGTGCGTTATATAAATATCCCATAATAATATAATAAAATGAGCGATATATGACATCTAAACAACATGACCTCTAACCAGCATATGACCTTTAAACAACATCTGACCTCTAACTTAATCTGACCTCTAACCAACACCAGACATCTAACCGACATAAAACATAAAAGCAAAATACGACATCGTCACTAGATATTAAAGCCATCCATTGCCAACATGAATCCACTTACGAACATAAATACATGCATGATTTCTGGAAGTTTGACAAGGACACTTGCCAATATATATACACCAGGTTGGTTGAGGACCTGGCGACGAACAGGTATTTATTCTGCAGAATCTACAGTGTTGTCTACACATGCACACTTGCAGCAAGATATGTCGACCCGTGTTGGCTGCACTCCTTGGTGCAGTGACTGCTGTCTACGAGATTTTTTATGTACCTGTAAGTAGCAGAATGCCCTCTACCTGGTTTGCCGAGCAGATGACATATGGCTTGTGTTTATTTGGGTAACATCGGGGCGTGTGCAATAACTCTCATCAGGGAACGTGCTGCGCGAGTGCCTTAATTAACTAAAACACTGATACGAAGGATAGATAAAACACATTTGCGTATTGCATGCTCAGTTTGTTAGCTCAGTGCTTGAGGAGATGACAATTACAAGACGCACAATAACACAGCGTCGCTCAACAGCCAGATAACGGTACCTGGCAATTATAAGAGAAGGAATGGTTTATGAGAAAAGGAGCTTTTAATCCTCCATATTATGTAATGTCATTTTCTGCTTAGGGAAACGAGTGGTAAATGGCATGTATAATCTTTGTTCGTGTTGTAACGAGTCACAATATGAGAGAAAAATATATTTGCAACCGGTTCCAGTTTACACAGCGCTTTGTAACGTTTGACATCTTTATTTGATATTGACCGTTTTGGCTGAAAATCGTATTCTTAGTAAAGTTTGCTCAGATTCCGTCAATTCTTGTCGAATTTATCACTCGGAAACTAGTTTTAAGCTTCTTCTAAACTGGGTATGCGATCTTTGACCTGCTTAATAGTAATCGATGTGGGTGATCTTTCAGGGTTACTATTTTG